CTGGTTTCCTAGCAATGTCTCTTTCAGACTTCCAACTCACTTACAAGGTGTGATTATAAAATAATGACGCCAATTATTTAAGTAAACGCTTCAGAATGCATTCCCTTTTTTTTAAGACAAAAGCTAACAACAACAACAGAAAAATGGAACCGTACTTGGACTTCTAGGTAATAAAGTATTAAGAATCACTTTATTTAAAATGCTACTGCTGCCACCAGGTGCACTTTGGGAGGCCGAGGCAGGAGTTTGAGACCAACCTGGGCAACATAGTGAGACCACAAAAAATTTTTTAAAAGTTAGCTGGTGTGATGGTGTGCGTCTGTTGTCCTAGCTACTCAGGAGGCTGAGGCAGGAGGATCCCTTGGGCTCAGGAGTTTGAGGTTACAGTGAGCTATGATCCTGACACTGCATTCCAGCATGGATGACAGAGAAAGACACCGTCTCTAAAAAAAAAATTAAATTAAATTAAATGCTACTGCAATAAGAAGATCAAGATAAATGGAATTTTATGGCTTAACATCATGCATATATGCAGCTTTAAGTAAACAATTACTATTAGATCTTCTACTAAATCATCATTAATTTTCACACTAACCACTCTTTTATGATATACAATTAGCTAAAAATGCCTCAAAACAGTCACCTTGGAAGGTCCTCTGCTTCAAATTTATTTCAACATTTTTGAGCACTTGAGAGAGACTGACACACCACGAGTCCTCTTAAGGTCCTCGTGCTGTCAGACCAGCAGGACTCCTGCAAGGAAAATACCTCTTCCTGCAGGACAGCGTGAGCGCCCCCTGAAAGGCAAGGTCGAGTTTCGGTTTCCGTAGACTGTCCACCACCTGGGGAAAAGCGTGTGTCCCACAGACCTGAAGCTGTAGCTGCAAAGCCCTGGGTGTAGCCTCTCCCAGCCTTGACCACCAAAGGACACATGAGCAGCCACAGAGGGGACAGTGAGCTGGAGTCCTCCACACAGAGGCCACCTGGGAACTGGGAGCAAGACCCCCTGCAAAATGTCTCTCCAGCTTCCCCACGGAGTCCTCTCGGAGCACAGGAATAGGACGGGGCCCATGGGCCTGCAGACTGGGGCCGCCACTGAAGGGCACACACGTTCGCCTTGTGAAAGGCGTGGTCTCGAGGCTTTTGGTTCAAGTCCCCAGATTCACATCACCACCTCTCCCATTTTTCTCCTTCGAATGTTTAATCAAGGCATCCCGAAAATGCCTGCCTACCTCGGTTGTGCTCAAGTGAAAAAACAAGAGAAGCATTTGTACCTATGCTTGCTAGTGAAGGAGTGGAACCTGTACCCCTGGGGGACCGTGAGCAGGGGGAGGAGCCACAGTCCAAGAGGCCAAACCCTCAGGAAGAAAGTTCCAGGGACAGAAGCAAGTCTCAGCCCAGCCAGCTCTGTCCAGGAGACATGTCTCCATTCAGCACAAAACCCTCAGACACCGGGGGCTTGTGCATTTCCTAATAGCCACATCAGGTGCTGGGCGCTGTGCTAGATGCAGGGTGGGAAGGACACAAAGATGACCAGCTCTCAGCCTTTCCCCTTTTCAGGGGACAGACAAGAACGCAGGCAGGATGTGGGAAGGGCGATGACAAAGGCATGAGCAAGAGCTAGAGGGGGCCGCAGGGGACGTCTGAGCCAGGACTTGGAAGGTGGAAGTGTCTCTCCAGGACAAGAAGGAGGGAGTTTGCATCACAGAAAGAGGGGAAGACAAGGCAGATGCAAGAGAAAGAGCACAGGGCACATGGCATAGGAGGGCTAAGGGCAGGTAAGTCCGGAAAGGAAGATGAGAACCCCTGTGCCAAGCTGGCATGGAGGGCTTTGTCCTGCAAGCAAGGAGGACAAGGCCATCTGTCCCTTCAAGACCTGGGCATGCTCTAGTTCATCTGCTCATGGGCAGGTGGGCAACAGAACCAACCCTGAGAATAACAGCCGGGCTGCAGGGGCTGCCTCTAGAGGCATGGCCAAGCTAGCGGCTTGGCTTCTGAGAGGGTGGGGACCCCAGCTGTGGCCACCACAGGTGTCCAAGCATGCCCCAAGATGCCCACTGAGAGCATTCCAGCCCCAGAGGGCTCCAGAAACATACAAAAGTCTTCTGGTCACTGTCCCTATAGCAAGGGGGCAGTGTGCCTACAGGTTAAGCCAACAGCTTGCAATTCCAGCCACCTGGGTTCACACTGCAGCTCCACGGCCAGGAGCAGTGGATGCTCGGGCAAGTGGCTCAGCCCCTCGGGCTTTAGTTTCGGCAGCTGGAATAATGCTTGCCACAGAGTGTGCGCAGTGAATAGCAATCAATCCCTACTGTTTGTCAGTGAAATGTGAGAGCTGCTCCGCCTAGCTGAGCAGGGATGGACGTCCAGGTCAGGGCAGGTGCAGGATGAGTGTGCACCTGGATAGATGGGCAGTGGCCGCCTTCGGCTCCTGGAGCTCTGAGGGTGGGGGTGGAGGTACGAGAGGGTGTGCCGCCCTTCTGTCGCCACTCCCAGCCCTGGCTACACCCCAGCTGGGGCTATGCTCCGGGCCCCCACAGGACCCTGCTCCTCACTGGCTGCAGCCCCTCCAACTCCCACCTACCCTCTGGCTCTCGTGGTTGGGAGATCCCCAGCTCTGGATGACAGTCCCCAGCAGCTGGGTGCCCACCCCTGCAGGAGAGGGGACTGCACCACCATGGCTTGCCCCTGCCCCCACCACCAGTGTCCTTGTGGCCCCGGGAGTCTGGGTGAAGAGAGGAGGCCAGGGAGCAGGCCTGGCACCATGGGTGGTTGCCTGAGGCTGAGTGGCGAAGGCCCAGGGAGGGGTGTGGAGGAGAATGTGGGAGTCGGTGGCGCCTGCCACCTACCTGTGGTGCAACCTCCGGCCAGTCACTGAACCACCCTGAGCCTGACTCTCCTCATGTGGACCAATACTACCCGCTCTGTGATGGTAGGAAGTAATGACACTAGAGCAAAGCACCGAGCTGCAGCCTGGCAGGTAGTGACCACCTGGTAAATGGAGCCGCCCACCCATGCTCCAACCTTGGCAGGTGGCTCCTGGCAGGGACCTGGCACAGGGCGTCAAGGCTAGACTGGCAGCTCTTCCGTCCAGACTGAACAATTGACCCCTCAGACATCCACGTGCTTTGACTGAAGACAAGCATTTACAGGTTCCCCACTGCCCAGCCTCCATCCTGAGCACAGACACACACACACACACGCACGCACACGCGTGCACGTCCATCCTTCGGGCGCACCAAAGTCCTCCACGGCCCAGGCAGTGCCCTCACCCAGTGGCAGGCAGCTGCTGCGGTGCTGGCATGTGCCCCAAAGAAATAACCAGCGTCACTCTTGACTCAAAGCCTCAGTGGGGGTGGAGGGAGCAGAGGCTCTTTCTCCCTCTTCTCTCTGTGCCCCCGACTCACCAGGCTGCCCTGGCTCCTGGACACTGAGTGGTGGACTCCAGGATGACAGTGCTCTAAGGACAAGGACAGACCGTGACAAAGAGGCAACAGTGCCGGGGAGCAAGGACTTGGCCTGGCTTCCGGGGCCTGGCATAGGAAGCACACAGAGCCTCGCACATACCTTCCCTTCTCACCGCCAGCCGCCGCCTGCTCTGTGTCCTGCCCCAGGCTGAGGTCCCGAGGCACTGGCTCACCTCTGGAGTCCACAAGCAGAGCCACACCCCGCTCACACTGAATCTAGGCCACCCGCAGCTCGACCCCCCACCCGCGCTCACACACACACCAACCCGCCAGGAAGGCCTGTGTTGAACTTTCAAACCAGGAGCAGAGGCATGTTCACAGCATGTGTACACTCGTGTGCAACAGATCCTGATGCACAAAGCCCCCTCTCTGCCAGGCCCACCTCGCTGCCACCCCTCCCACTCTGACCCCAGGTCTCGTCTCTTTGCCATCTCTCCCAGGCCCTGCCAGGCCCTGGGCACAGAAGATCCCACCCGTGTCCTGCCTGCTCTGTGCACCAGGAGAACCCTCTAGGCTGCTCAGAGACCAGCTCCCACCCCATCCTATACATGGGCAGTGAGAAAGCCACGTTCGTCTCTCAAAGGGTCAGAGGTTGTGAGGCTTAAGAGAGAAAGCCTCACCGAGCTCCAGAGGCCTTGGGCAGCACCCCACCTTCAAGCCAGCCTGCCCAGGTAGCGCCTGCACTGCCCATCGGCTCCCCCCGCTGGCCGCGGCCGCTGCACTGCGCTCCCCCAACGCCGTGTGTCCTCCCAAGCCCAGCAGCACATGCACACAGACACGCACATGCACACGCAGACAAGCGCACGTGTGCACACATACACACACGCACTGCTGCACGTATCCCTCACCGTCCCCAGGACGTCTGCTTTGACTTAGTCCCCCAGTAATGGGAATGAGTCACCCTGAAAGTTATACCCTCTTTAAGCAGCTTCTCTTGTGACTGAGGATCACAGGTGACTGTGGTGATCAAAGTGAGGTCCATCTGCAGCCAGCCACCAAGTGAGCTCCGGTCAGGGCTGGGCAAACCAGTGTGTCCAGAGTGGGGTGGCCTGGGGGCCCAATTACATACAGTGAGGATGAGGCCAAGATGAGGATGGGGGCAGGGGCCAGGGCTCAGGCCAATTACAGTCCCAGGTTAGGGTCAGTGCAGGGCGGGGCCCAGGAACTGTGCGAGGACACAGTGTATGGCTGCATTAGCAGTCAGGGTGGGGCCGGCTTTGGGGGCCAGAGTGCCACCAGCAAAGGAAGTCTGGCAGGACTGGTAGGAATGCCTCCAACTCAAGCAGGCCAGGTGGTCCTTTGTTATCCTGAATCCAGGGTCCTACAGAGGCAGATGCCCTGGAGATGACGTGTGTCAGCCTGCAGGGAGCACCCCCGACTGAACACATCCACGTGGGGATCTCAGGGCAGCCCCACAGGCCCTGTGCACACAGACAGACCCAGACTCCTGCACAGAGGCCAGTGCACAAGTACCTATGTGTGTCCAGATGTGAACACGATACCACATGTGACAGCTGCACACTCCCAGCACACTGGAGTCTCCTCAGGATAATTATTTATTATTCATAGTCATCAGCATCTTCATTAATTATTCATATGATCCTTAATTATTATCCTTAACAATAAGAGCAGTAAATAGCAGAAAAGTCCTTGAGGTGCCTAAGGCCCAGGGCCGGGTGCCTCCGGGCAGTTAGACCAGCTAATGCCCTCAGGCAGTGGGGGGACCACAGGCCCCTGTCCACTGCCGGCCCTGCCCCCGCCCCTCTCACTGGGGCCCAGGGGACTGCAGGAGGAGATGGTCCCAAGGGCTGGAGGAGGAGCTGTTCCTTTGACTTCCTCTCCCCTTCCATGGCCAGGGCCTCCTGAGCAGGGCCTCCTAGGGGAAGGGCCCGGGTGGTACCCTGATCCCTGGGTGAGCCACGTGTCCACACTGGGCAGCCCCACTAACTGCCAGGGTCTGAGCCATGTCTGTGCAGGGGCTGGGAGGTGAGGGCCCCCAGCTGGCCCGGCAGGGAGAGGCGTCGAGCGGGGCAGTCTTGGGGGAGCTCTGGGGCCCCCTGGGGAAGCTCCTCGCACGCCATGAACTGGGAAACCTGCGAAGAACACAGAGCATGAGCAAGCGTGGAGGCCGTGGGGGGCAGGGAGGGGGCACAGGAGGCAGGAGAATCCCAGTGACGGAGGACAAACGGAAGGACAGGAAGGAGGGGAGGAGGGGAGGAGGGGAGGAGGGTCAGGTGGGCAGAGGGAGGTCTGCAGGGGACAAGACAGGCAGAGCAGGACAGGGACCACCAAGGGGAGGCCCTGAGGTGGGAAGCAGAGAAATGTACTCTCAGAATGCAAGAGCCAGGGGCCCTGGGAGCAGCTGGGGAGCTTCTTCCTGACACAGGGGACCTCGCCCCCAGCCCAGGGAAAACTCAAGGCCATGGCCTCTTCCTCAGGGAACGTGGCAGCTGAATCCAAACCCAGCTCTGGGACAGAAAGAGAGACAAGGTTCCTTCCTGCAATCTAGAAGGAACTTGGAGACCTAGAAACAGAGGCAGGCTGGCAGCCAGGCATCTGAAGGCCAGGGAGAGGGCCGGGGCCGGCAGGGGAGGGGCTGTGGGTGCTGCCGCGTCTGCTGGTGAGAGCAGCGCGGGGGAGGCTGTGAAGGAAGACTGGCACATTTGCTGACGTGGGCCCTGGTGTCTGCAAACAGGAGCAGGCAGCATATGGGAGGGGGAGAGGATGCCAGGGGAAGGGGGGGCAGATCCCAGGCTGCCTCTGGCAGCCAGAGGAGTCCCTTCAGGGCCGCCCAGGAACTGGTGCAGGGGGCACAGACAGAGCTATCTTGCAGAGACCAGGAATGCACATGTCCACTCAGGAGGGGACAAAGGCCCATCTCTAGCAGAGGAGAGAAATGCAGGCCATGGAAGTCGTACCCTCGGAGCTTGGCCTCGGCACCTGGGGAAATGCCAGAAGCCTTCAAGACAACCCTTTCAATGGCTAGTGCTGAGAGTGAAGGTGCGCAGGACAGTCAGACCAGGGGAGTGTCTGTCACAGCAGGAACCGGGGACCCTGCCCCTAGACACACTGGTACACAGCCCCCACCCCCAGGCACTCAGGCTCAGTCAGTTCTCCTTGGAGACCACCCACGGCCATGACACAAACAGCACGGTTAGATCTGGCCCTTCAGGTGAACTGGGGAGCCCAGGCCACTCAGCCTGCTGGTCCCCTGTGCCCAGCTGTCGTGGGGCCTGGATTGGGGCTCTCCTGCCCTGCCCTGAGCCCACAGCTCCTGAGGCAGCCTCCTCCAGGAGTGCAGGAGTGAGAGGAGAGCAGGAGCAGGGTGGGGGAAGGCTGGGGCACCACCGAGCCCAGCAGAAAGGGCAGCACGGCAGGTCTGGGGTGGAAGCTTGGCAGAAAAAGCAGGGATGGGAGTGCCGTGGGGAAGGCGGCTCAGGAACTTACCTGAGAAAGCGAGTCCAGGGTGAGGGTAGGGATGGGGCTGACGGGTAGTAGAGGGGAGGAGGAGGCGGGGCAGGGCCCTGGGGTGGTCACAGCACTGTAGGCGGGTGGGACCAGCGTCATCTGCCTCTGTAGCAGCTGCAGCACGGTGGCCATGTCCGCACTCAACCGGGTCTCCAGCCTGGGGCAGGAGGGAGGGAGGAGGATGCTCAGGGAGGCGAGGACACCAGTGGCTGACTCCACTGGAGGAGGGGCAGCCAGGCGCCGCAGGCCCCCTCTGCACTCTGGGTGGCAGCCCCTGGCTCAGCTGCGAGCGGAAGGAGAGGAACCAGCTGTGGGACACACAGACAGGCCTGGACAGAGCACACTCTCCCCTAACCGCGCCAGGCAAGAGCGCGGGAGCCCGCACCCGCCGCCGCGCCCACCTGTTGAGCTGCCGCTGCAGGGCGTCCAGCCTGCTCTCCACGTCGCCCCGGGGCCGCCGGCCGGGGCTGGAAAGGGGGATGTTGAGGAGGCTGGGGGCGGGGGCGGGGCAGCGAGGCAGTTCCTGGTACTGGCGGCCGCGACTGTCCCCCCAGAAGCTGAAAATGTTGGACACTCCCGAGAAGGCGCCTGCAGCCAGAGAGTCGGGGTGAGGGGGCTGAGGCGGCTAAAGCCACCCGCCCCCGCCCCGCAGCCCCGCGGTCGCCCCGCCCGTACCTGACAGCGGGTTGCAGGCGTCGCTGCTCTTCTCGCAGTCCTCGGTCAGGGGCTCCCCGCCCTGCGGCTCTCCGGGGGGCCTGGGGCTGGAGAAGGGCACCAGGCGGAGGGGGCTGGAGCTGTGGCCTGGGCCCTCATCCTCACTGCTCTCGGGGCTGGAGGGGCCGCTGGACGGGCTGTCCCCCCACGGCCCCCCCGGTCGGCCCCGGCTACTGGGCCCTGCCCCCGCCCGGCCCGGCCCCAAGGCCGACACCTCCCCTGGCTGCTCCGTGTCTGTGGGAAACAGAGAACCGGCCTCAGAGAGGGCAAGGGACGCGCGGAAGGGGCGGGGAGGGGACAGGAGCGAGGCTGCGGAAGGACCATGGCAGGATGCCCTCATTTGTCCCCAGCTGTTTCCTCTGCTCTGCTCCCCCTCTCAGCGAGACCCCCTGGCTGCCCAAGCGCGGGCAGTGGCCTGCGGGGCGGGGCTCTCGGGCCCTGGGCCTCCGCCTGGCCGGGCCCTCGCCCTCCTTTGCCCCTCATCTGTTTAAGGCGGTGTCCACCGAGACCACAGCCCCGAGAAAACCTAAACGCCTAGGCATGCCCTTGTCCTGGACAGTGTGAGAGGGCTTCCTGGAGGAGGTGACAGCTCAAGCTGGCCTGAAGCGCAGGCTCTGGACAGCTGGGGCGAGGAGTGGGCGCACTGGAGCAAGGGACAGGAATGTCTGGAGGCCTGGGTGGAGCAGACACCCCTGGACCCGCCCTCCGCTCTGCCCCCTCTCCTAGACCCCGCCACTGCCCAGCCTCACCCTTGTCCGTGCGCCTGCGGAAGGACAGCTTGCGCTTGCGCTGCCGATTGAAGCCGCCCTCCAACTCCGTGCTGCCGGGGGAACCCGGGATCATGTTGGTCTGGAACCAAGAGCGGTGTGAGGCCCGGTGCTCTCCTCCCCTACTCTCCCACCTCACCCAGGTCAGCCCAAGACCCCTCTTCAACACAGAAAAGGTGGGACTGGGCACTCCCCACCCCAACCGTGTGACCTCTGCCCCTGACAAAGGCTCAGGCTGGGACTTTCATAGCCTGGTCTATGATACCACTTGATAGGGAAACTGAGGCAGAGAAGCATCACATTCAAGGCCACACAGTGAAGGGGCAGCTGCACAGCTGGGAACAGAAGGCAGGTTTCCTGGGGCTGGGGACCGGCTCAGGGTGACCCACTCACGTCTCGCAGGTTGAAGGTGATCTCCAGGCTGGACCAGAAGTGGTCCGAGAACTCTGGGTACATATCCAGCACCTCCAGCAGGTCGTCCCTGTGGATCTTGTGCAGGTCACAGTAGGTGAGGGCCCGCACGTCCCCGTTGGACTTGCCAGGCCTCGCGTACAGGTTCAGTGGCTCTCCAAAGATGTCATTCTTCCCTGAAGGCCACGGAGAGGACAGAGCGCTCAGCCCCATGGGGCTGGCACTGAGGCAGCAGGCACCTTCTCCAGGCATTCCCACCTCTCAGCCAGGCCACCCACCAGCTGGCCCTGAGCCCACACAGCCAGGGGAGCATCTGCCAGCCCAGCCCCCCTCAGCCCCCAGCAGGCAAGACAGTGCCACGTGGCCAGCAGTGCCTGGGGAAGAAGGGGCCAGGAACCTTGGGTCTCCATGCCGCCAGCGACTGGGACCCGGACAGCAGGACGAGCCCGGATGCCCCAGCTCTGCCCACGGCCCTGACCTGCTCAGGTTGTAACTCTACTTCCACCCTCAAACCCCACATCCCAAACACCCTTCTGGCCAAATGCTGCACGCTCATAAGCAATGTCCTTCACACTATGGCTCAGAACACAGTAGTGAATCAAGGCCAGCATTTTTTTTTTTTTTTTTTTTACTGAAAGAAAGTATGATAGCATAGCTTAGCACAGCACAGAACAGAAAATACCGGCATACCAGGTACCACATGTACTAAGGCCGAGTGTTGTAGTGAAACTTTGGTTTCCGTTGTTGGGGGGAGGGTGTTTATGGAGCGAGTGTATGTGTTTGTACCGAACTGAGAAGTAACAATCTCAAATATCCCACCTTATCTGCCCTAAGGTGTGCAGGGCCCAGGGAAGGAGAGGCAGAGAGCAAGAGGCCCCAGCATCTGGGCACACCTGCCCACGTGTACAGGGGGTGAAAATGAAGGGGCGGGAGGGGAAGGGGGCAGGGCTCCCTTTGCTTTGGACACGGCAAGGGGACAGGCACGATTATTTCGCAGGGAACCACCTGGCCCTTAGTAGAATCAGATGCACAGCCTCCATGTTAGCATTTCTGCCTCCACTGCCCACCTTGGAGGATCTACGTTTGATCCTACTTTAAGAAAGGAAGAAGTGTCTGTCTGTGGGGGGATCCGGAAGGGAAGGAGACTGTGGGAACCCTCAAATTCAGTAGCCATACCCCACGTGGGGCTCCTCTCCGCTGCCCCTCTTGGAGGGCCTGAGCTTGGGTGAATTAAAGGAGCCCAAAGACCCTGCAGGCAGCTCCAGGTCCACTGCCCCAACGAATGAGTATTCAGAAGGCTCGGACTTCTCTAGGCTGCCGCAGGCATTCCTAGTCCAGTGCCCGCACCCCACCCCATACCCAGGATGGCCACAACGACGTCACCCCTCAGGATCTCAATGGAGCCCCTGGAGATGAAGTAGAGAGCGGTGAGCAGGTCCCCAGCATGCACCAGCGTGTCCCCAGGTGGGGCGTGTGTGGTCTTGAACTTCATGGCCAGCGCCCGCAGGCAGCCCTTGGTGGCCCCTCGGAAGGGCTTGCAGTGCTGCAGCAGCGAGCGGTTCAGGTGCAGGCAGATGTCAGCCTGCAGGCACTCAGGGAAGCCCTTCAGCACCTGGGGGTGGGCGGGGCCAGCTCAGCACACCCTCCTTGGGACCCCACCCAAATTCCACCCCACTGCCCCACCCCTCGATTTCAGGGAAACCTCATCCTCCAGGCCTGGATGCTACCCCAGAGCAGTCTGGGGCTTCAGGAAAGACTCCAGCTTCGCCATCTCTGGCTGGGCACCCTTGGGCTCTAGACCTCCATTTCTTATTATATTTGTAAATGTAGAAACCAATTCCTGTCTCTGGTGTGGAGGACCTAGTATACAGCATCTGCCCCAAAGGGAGAGCTGTGCGGTGAAGGGGCTCCACGGCCTTCAGTCTCCTGGTGAGCAAAGGGGGAGCAACGTGCCACTTGGGGTCTTTCTTAGCACTAACCAGGACCATCTGAGACTTGCTCACTGCACCAAGAGGGTCCCCACCACCGCTCTTCAGCCTGCCACCGCCTGCCGCACCGCTCTGGCAGCCTCACCGCATTCATGTCGATGCCATTGGTGTAGGACCAGGCGTGCTGGAAGTACTCCTCCAGGCGCTGGCGCAGCGGGTTGGGGATCTGGTGGAAGCGGATGAACTCCCGCACCCGGAGCATCTGCGTGTGGTAGCGCGCCGTGCCCGAGTACAGCCGCTGGATGATGGCTGACACGTTGCCAAAGATGCTGGCGTACATGAGAGCTAGGGGCACAGAGGTGGGGCTGTCAGTATGCGCAGGGCCCTGCCTGCCCACAGGGACCCAGCTTGGGCCCTGCACCAGGTCAGCGATGCCCGCATCACATCTCAGTCTCAGCGTCAACATACCTCAGAGATGCCAAGTACACACATGCTCCAGCCCTCCAGCAATTCCTGCCCTGGTGTCCCAGCACCCCAACCACATCATGATGGTGGCCCCAGGGAGGTCTCACACGGGCCCCTCTAGCAGCCTCAGGTTCCTCCACCTTGGGCTGTCCCACACCGCCCACCGCTGGGCACACTCACAGCCAATGAGCATGACGCAGATGGAGAAGATCTTCTCTGAGTTGGTGTTGGGGGAGACGTTGCCGAAGCCCACGCTAGTGAGGCTGCTGAAGGTGAAGTAGAGCGCAGTGACATACTTGTCCTTGATGGAGGGGCCGCCCAGGCCACTGCTGTTGTACGGCTTGCCGATCTGGTCGCCCAGGTTGTGCAGCCAGCCAATGCGCGAGTCCATGTGCGGCTGCTCCATGTTGCCGATGGCGTACCAGATGCAGGCCAGCCAGTGCGCGATGAGCGCGAAGGTGCACATGAGCAGGAAGAGCACGGCCGCCCCGTACTCCGAGTAGCGGTCCAGCTTCCGTGCCACGCGCACCAGCCGTAGCAGCCGCGCCGTCTTCAGCAGCCCGATCAGCTGGGGGGCAGGGAGGGAGGACATTCAGTGTGGGAGCAAAGGAGGAGTGGGGGCACTGTGGCCCTTGGAGGGGGCCATCAGAGGTGAAACCCCCAAAGACTTCCTCCCCAAGCCGCCTCCTCATAGTCGAAGCCACCCTGTATGAAGCACCTCCCACACCGGGCCCAGCACAGATGTCTCCTTAATCTCTGTGCCAGCTTCAGGACAAGGGGGTCCTGGTCCCCATAGTGACAATGAGGAAAGAGGGGGTCCCAAAGGTGCAACAAGCACTCTGAGGTGACTGGGCATAACTCCCACTGGCTTCTAGGGCACTTTCGTGTGACTTAGAAAATGGTGGCCCCTTTCAGTGGACAAAGCAGCAACCTTCTGGCCTCCAACACCCTGTGAACTCATATGGAGAGCAGTGGGGAGCGTGGGTCTGTCAGGCCACCCGCCCTGCCTCTGCCGTGCCCCCACCTTCTCTCTCCCCCTCCTCCCTCTCTGAACCCCTCCACCCCACTACCTCTACAAGCTCTCTCCGTCGGCCCACCCTCCCATCCTCTCCTCTCCTCTCCCCCTCGCTCCACCTCCCTGCCAACCCCACCTCCTCAGAGCCAGAGCCGAAGATGAGCAGGTCGAAGGGAATGGCAGCCACCATGTCGATGAGGAACCAGCCCTTGAAGTAGTGGACGGCGATGCGGCCAGGGTGGCTGACCACCTCCTCGTTGGCATTGACGTAGGTGGTGCGGAAGTTGATGAGGATGTCCACGATGAACATGATGTCCACGATGAGGTCCACCACGGCCAGCGGCTGGCAGGCATAGCCGCAGTCAGGGGCCGGGGGGCCCTCTTCTGTCTCCTTCAGCAGGAAGGCGGCCGAGTAGGGCGTGAAGACGGCCGTGTAGATGACCAGCAGCAAGATGAGCCAGTCCCACACGGCCTTGAAGGGGCTGTAGTGCAGGATGGTCCAGCGGTGGATGCGCGGCGCCTGCAGCTTGTACTCGGGCAGCACGTCGGCGCCCAGGGACAGGACCTGGATGGGAAGGGAAGGTGGAGGGGAAGGTGAGGGCAGGCCATGGGACCTCAGGGTAGGAGCAGGTAACATCTCTGCTGTGGCCAACCAGAGCAAGGAGGGAGAGGTCAAAAAAGTTTCCATCAGGACGCCCACCCCTCAGCCAAGTGACCACAGCAACTGACCACCCCTAGACCTGGGCATACAGGTCCCAAAATGCCACACAGCACAGGATCTTCTGGCTGGTTCCCGATAGCTCCAGCTGTTCCCAGCAGACCTGGATTCTGGGCTTTCTGCAGTGACACCCAGTGCTGCCCGACCAGCCACACAGAACTGGTCCCACGGACCGTGATTGGCACCATGTGATCTTGCCCACAGCCCAGACGCCACACATGCTCCCACACACACCCTGTGGTCTCTGTCCAGAAAATGTCCTAAGGACTACAGCTCCCAGCCCAGGCACGGGCCTCACATAAAATGGTAGTCACTGCAGTTCCCTCCCAGTCCATGGCATGCCACTGGCCCAGGGACACCAGCCGCCCAGTCTCAGGCCCCTTGGCCTTCTTGGGGGTGGCGGGGAGAGATCAAGACACTCCCACCCTCTGCTCCCCCAGTCCCCTCTCCACCCAGGCCCAGGGCGGCCCATAGTCCTCCCGCTCCCACACTCTTACAAAGGGACACAGAAGACAGCCCAACCCAGAGGAGATGGTGCCCAATGTACACAGAGGGACATGCACACAAGGATGGCTCGGGAGAGACACACAGCCCTATGCAGGTTCGCACACGCAGACCAGAAGCAGGCCCACCATTCAGACGAGGTGATGGCAGCCACGGCACTCTTCTCCCAAGCCAAACTAGGGAGAGCTCAGGCCAGCTTCCCCAGGCTGTCCCAGAAGCCTCCATCTGACCCTCTGTGCCCCTCCCCCAGAATCCTCTCACAGACATACAACTTACCCAAGAGCTCCCTCCCCAAACTCTCCTAGCCTGGCCCCTGCCACCCTGGGCAGCCAGCTGAACCCGAGGCCTCACCCAGCCCCCTTGAAAGCCAGAGCTGCTGGCCCCGCCCCCAGAAGCACCGGCTCGCAGGCCACACAGCCCCAGCTTCCGTGCCGGGGGAAGACCATGATGGACAGGGTCCCAAAGACTCCCCTTCATGTTCAAGCTGGGGACATCCTTGAGCCACCTTCACAGATGGCACATTTGGAGAACATCTCCTTGGAGTTATAACGAGAAGTTAAGACAGGTCATAATTAGGGGTGTGACCACTCTGGGATGGACGCAGGACTTCCTGAGGTACCAGATTGGGTGGGGGGCAGGCGGGAGGAGCCCAGGAACAGGCTCCCAGTTCCCATTTCTGCTCTGCCTTCAGCCCCAGCAGCCTGCTCCTTAGGGCAGAGAGCACATGCTCACGGGTGGTGGCCTTTCCGGGGTCAAGTGGGGATTAAGAAAAAGAACTACAGACAAGCGGGCAGAAGAAGGTAACTGCCCCTGGATGCAACGCCTCCCTGTGCCTGAGAGGCCGGTCCCAGGGGCTGTGCTGGACCACCACTGGCAGCAGCGCGCCACGGCACAAACTCACGCATGCATGGGGCAAGCCTGGGACACAAGCCTGGACGTGCAAACCGTGTCGTTACAGGGGCTGGTCCCAGCTCCACACCCTCAGCTTACCACATGGCTTTGGGCCAGAGATGTACCCCCCATCCTGCCGTCCCATACAATACTGAAATCAGTGCATTTAAGCCAAGCCCTGGGTCCTCACCTGAGGGAAGGAAGACTCCCACGTGTACCTGTCCCCCAGCTGGGAGGAGCAGAAGAGCCAAGACAGAGAGAGCTGAGGCCGGGGCAGCAGGGCCGGAGTGGGATTCTCAGACTCTCCTGAGCCACCTCCCACACCTCCTCCACCACCACCCAAGCCTGCTCCAGACTCTGTGACAGCAGGGCCACTGGGGGAACAGAGGTAGCTCCCAGGAGGTAACAGAGCATCACACTGCCCAGCCAGCAGCCCGGGCCACCCCTGAAGAGATGAGCCAGACACCCAGCTCAGCACGCGCTCACCACCTGCACAGTGGCTGTGACACCCCCGCAGATTCCAGCCTCCTGGACCCCCGAAAGCAGCCCAAGCCTCCCGAGCCTGCCACAGGGTCCACCCCAGCACATAGAGCTAGGAAACCCCAGCGCCTCGGTGCCAGGCCTGGCTGCTGCCCGCCAGTCCTCTCGCCGGCCTGCCTGGCTCCTTCTCCTCCCTCTGCCTCCCTGCCATCCTCTCTGGGCTCCCATCTCACTCCTAACTCTCTCCTCCTTTGCGTTCTGAGCTTGAAGGCTGTGGGCAGCGGAAGCCACAGGACAGGGGAAGCACCAGCAAGGGGACCACTGTGATCCTAACCTGGCAGGACAGGGGGCAGGAGCCCAGAGTGCATGAGCAGGGAACAGACCTCGCGGCTCCCCAAACCCTCCTGCTGCCCGGAAGTATTCTTCCCGGCCTGGAGCCAGAGCCCTCAGAGCTGCACCCCCACTTGCCAGCCACCTGCCTGGTGCCCCAGCCCCAGAAAGGAAGGGGAGGGACCAGGGGTCACCTACCTCCTGGGCCACCAGGCTGGAGATGCGCACGGCCCGCCTCACCCGGCCTTTCTGGGCCCTGGGCCGCAGAGCCCCTGTCCCGCTCGCCTTCCCTGCTGGGGCCGCCATGGAGGACTTGGCTCCCCCTAGCCTGCCTGCCCTGGGGCCTGGGGGCCCAGCCAGCACCTCACCTGCACCCCAGCAGCAGTCCCAGCCCAGTCTGCACCCCAGAGGCTGGCCGACTGGCAGCCAGGGCAGCCTCTGGCATGAAGCCAGCGTGGCTGGGGCTGGACCCCAGGCTGGGGTCACCCTGGCAGGGAGCGTGGGCAGCAGCCTGCCTGGCCTGGGCTGCCCATAGCCCCTGGTGCCGGCCCTGCTGCCAGGGTACTGCGCTCTGCCCGCCCGGCTGCCCAGCAGCGGCGGCTGCGGCCTGCCGGCTCCTCCAGCGGCCCCTCCTTCTCCTGGGTCCCCACCCCCACCCGCCACACTGGGCTCCCCCGCCCTGCCCGCCCCCTCCCCGCTCGGGCTCCTGCGCCGCTCCCGCAGCCCTGCCCCTCCCCCTCTGCCGGCAGCCCGCCTGTCACCGCAGATTAATGGTCTCCCCGACACCCCCGCCCGGCCGGTCCAGTGCTGAGCCAGCCAGAGTCAGACAGAGACACTCAGAGATGGAGAGACCGCCAGTGACTGGCAGGAACACGCGCACGCGGACACATACAGGCGCGCACAGACCGACCCACCAAGACACGCACGTGGGGAACCTGCTCTGGCAGAGCAATGGGGCAGAGCCAGGGGCTCAGGTGGGAACCAAGAGAGAGGCAAGAGAGGTGGGGGGAGAGGGGAGGCAGCCAGATAACTGCCTGGGGTGAGGGGGAATGTTCTGGAGTCAAGGCCAATGGGCTGGAGCCCTGGCAAGGGCCCAAAGAGCTGGAGGCGGTGGGAGCAGGGCCAGGAGGCCGCCTGGGGAGTGGGGCAGCTCTCACACAGGCCAGCCCAGGCAGCTGCTGTGGAAGTGGCAGGAGGGGGACAGGAGTCCTCACTATCCCAGACTTCACTCACTGCATGGCCACTCCTGACCCAGCCACCCCCACCTCAAGGCCAGGATGTGAAGGAGCTGGGGGGCGGGGAGACTGGGCAGAGGAGGTGCGGACCATCTTGCCACAAAGAAAGTTCCAAGCCTAGGAGGGGAAAGAAGACCAGACTGGCCCTGCCACAATATGGTGCTGGCCCATGCCCCCAAAGGCTGGCGGTCCCTGGTCCAGGATTCAGGGAGTTGACCTCTCCATGTCTTTGGACCGCCACTGCCCCTCTCTCCCAACATGAGAAGGAAACTCTCATGCTTTGAGACACCTCCAGGCCATCCTGGCCATCCTCGTAGTACCAGGTGCCTACCCTCTGCCAGGTGGGCTCATCACCTGGCCTAGAAGCAGCAGGACCCTCCTGACCTGACCTCTGTGGCCTCTTCTAATTCGAAGCCTCCTCCTGTTGGCTTGCCCCACAGTACTGCCCTCACACACACCCTGTGACCAGGCCCTTGTGTCCCTGAAGCAGCCTGGCCCCTTCTCATGTCCCCTGCCTCAACTGCCCTGTCCTCATCCACCCATCCTCTGCATCTGCCTGCTCCCAGCACCTCCCAGTCCCCTCTCTCCCGGACCTCTCAGAGGGTTCACTTCCCCCACCCTAGCCCTAGTCTGCCCACCCTGAGGAGGCTTTCACTGGCTGCCCCCTCGACCCCACCTCTGTACCACAGGGCACTCCTATCCCCACCCCTCCAAGCTCCGCCAAGGTGAGAGGAGAACCAGACCCACTGGGCACCTACCTGGGTGACCTTCTCGGTGACATTGTGGGTCCGATCCTTTATCTTGGGTGCTATGATTTCCCGGTCACTGGTGGGCGAAGCCAGGAAGGGGTCGCCCTTGAGGTCCACAAAGTTGAGGGTGATTTGGGGAATCTTGCTAATGGTGCGGTAGCGCACGAGGTCCGAGTCTGAGGTGGAGTTAAGCAGGCCGCTACGGAGGGGGTGCATGGCCCCTGGGTAGAGAGGCAAGGCGGGGTCAGGTCAGCAGGCCAGGGCCTAAGGGTGGTCAGGCCCTGCACAGGCTGGAGCCACAGGGCACAGTGAGTCAACGAGGTCAAGACGGGGACTGGGGCAGTCACAGAGAAACCAGTGAGGCCAGACCCCTCCCCACTCTACGGAAGCACACCATGATGCAACTAGGAGAAGATGAGGAGGAAGAAGGGAAGGACAATCGACCCTGCCAAACGGCCAGGTGGTGCCAGGTTCCCTTCACAGTCCCCAGAGCCATTCCCACTCGAGGACATCTTGGGACAGTCAGCTCCATGGGCCAGCCAGGGCTCTGGGAGTGGGAGAATGTAATGGGATGAATGGACATTTAATAGCGTAAAAGGGCACTTAATGGGATTAAATAAGCGCTTAATGGGATTTCCATCTCCCAAGCACCCAGGCTGGTGGAAAGGTCAGAAGCTGAGGACCTGGCAGGGGGCAGGCCTGGCAGGGGGCAGGCCTGGTCGGGGTAGGGGAGGAGGCTGGGGCTGGGGAGGGACAGTTCCCTCCGGCACTGGGGGCCCCTCACCGGTGCTGGCGTGGCGCGGCGGCGGCGGGGGCAGCGCCCCAGTGCGCATGGCCTCGATGTCGTCCGCGGACGAGGCCCGGCGCACGCTGGCGCAGCTCTCTCTGGAGCGCGTCCGGGCCAGGCTGCAGCTGGAGCCCGAGGCCTCGGGGTTGAGGCTGTGCGCCCGGGGCGACGGGTGCGGGCCGGGCGCGCCGGCAGGCGGGGAGCGGGGGCCCACCAGCGCGCGCCGCTCCTCGGCCGGCCCGAGCCCCGCCACGTGGTTGTCCATGGCCGTCACCTCGTCCAGGACCAGCGACTCGCTGCTCGGCGCCGCGGGCGTCAGGTCCACGTCCACCACCACGGCCCCCGGGGCGCCCGCGCCGCCTGCACCGCCCGCCCTCACCGACGACTCCCGGGCCGTCAGCGCCAGCAGCGCGGGCAGCTTCAGGCGGAAGGTCTTGGCGCGGCCTGCGGGAGACGGGGCGCGTGTGGCCGTTTGGACCGGGCAGCAGGGAGGGGGCGAGGCCTAAGGGCTGGAGCCCCAGCCACCGGGCCGGGAACGGGGAACCGGGGACTCCTGACAGCCAGCACCCCTCCACCCAACCCATGCAATTTGAACTGGATTCTCAAAAACATTCTAAAAAAAATCTTATCTAAGACTCTGATCACAACAAACTGACTCTACATAAATCATCCCTGATTCTCACACCTGCTGGTGGGTACCATCATCCCCGTTTTAGGCACGAGGGAATTTAGCTATAAAGGCTGGTGTAACCTGCTAGAGGTCACACAGGAGGGGCCTGCGGGGGAATGAGTGACTAATGCTTCCTCCCACACCCTGCCACCTGCCGGATGGCATCTGTAGGACAGGTGGGGACAGGGTTAGTACCGTCGTCATTTTAGAGCTTGAGAAACCAAGAGGTGAAAGCTTTTGTCATGACTCCGAGGGAAGAATTAAAATTAAACCAAAGAGGCCATCCTGGGGAGGGGGGAATCTGAGGCTTGGCATCAGCATGCGGGAGAGGGCAGGCCTCCGTGTCTCCAGCCACCCGGAGCATCCCTCATACCCTCCCTCGGTCAGCTAAGACCAGTGGGGATCTTGGCCAGGCCAGAAACAAGGACCAGAGGACAGAAACTACACAGAGAGTTGAGTCCATGAGACAGAACTTTCCAACGAGCAGAGGGAGCCACTCCCAGGTGGTCCAGGCCCTCTGGGAAGGGTGAGTTTCCCATCCTCGGCTGCTCGAGGGAGGCCGGAGACAGGCCCACGCCCAGGGGATACTGTGGGGGACCCAAGCAGGTGAGGCTAGGAAAACAGGTGCTATGCCACCCCAAAGACTTCACAGCCTGACTCCTGTCACTCCACTGCTGTCTGTCCCATCTGGTGGGACCAGGCCACATCCCTGGTGTACTCTCCCCACTACTACATCCTCTCTTCCTGCAAAGCATTGACCTTGGGCAGCTCGAGGCCCCAGGGAAGTGAAACCATGTACCCCTGAGCCAGCCCGAGGGTGTGGCTGCACTTACCTGAGGCCAGCCAGCTGGTGGGGGGCCCCCGGTGATTGGTGTCATGAGCTGGGGACCCCACCATGTCCTTGTCCATCACCACCTCGAAGTTGAGGATGAACATGATGACAGCTCCATCCTCGTTCTTCACAGGCACCACGTCCACCAGACACAGGAAGCAGCTCCCTACAGAGTGGGGAGGGCACAGCCACTGTCGCACCAGTGCCCCCTCGGTGGGCAGAGCTGAAAGCCAGGCAGGATGGACCCCAGAACCCATAAGGGCCTGTTCGCTTTTGCTTCCCACCACAGCCCCCACAAACCATTCTCTGCCCTCCTCTCCAGGGTCTCCTGCCTGTCCCCTCATTCGGCTGTGCCTGCCGTCGCAGGTTTTCCCTCGATCTGTCTGCTCCAGCGTGGGGCTTGTGGAGGCCCCTTCCCTCTCTCTGCGGATCCTATTTCTCTGGCCCCCTTTCCCACATGCATGTTCTCACACTGGCTTATGATCCCTTCTCCCTCCATGTTTTCATCTCCTTTTCCCTACCCCCTAATGTGGCTTTGCTCTTCCCGCATGAGAGGCAGTGCAGTGGTGCTTAAAGCCCATGGACTTTAAGCCCAGAATCTCTGGGTTCAGGTCCCAGCTCTGCTTAGTCATTTATGCATTTTTATTAAATTATTTAGCATCCCTGTGCCTCATTTTCCTCATCTATGAGTTGGGAATGATAACAATCCTTTTCTCACGAGTTGTAAAGATGAACTGAGCTGACACATGCTAAGTGCTTAGCTATAGGGCAAGGCCTGGCATATACAACACACCATAGGCAGCTGGCTGCTGCTGTCTGTCTCTCTGTCTCCATTCTTTCTAGAGTAGCACCCAGCCTTTGTGTCAGCCCACAAGATAAGTATAGACATTTAGAGCAAGAGTTTCCAAACCTTTGCAGCAATTTGGCAGTGCCACAATATCCAAGCATGTGCTCTTGCATTTCACAAAAGTACCAGTCTATGACATATTAGAATTAAAGAAAATTGATCCTTCACCAAAGAGTCTAAGACGAACTGCTTCTAGATCTTTCATCTCCATCTCTCGTCTTTCTCCTGGTCCTTGATCTTTTCCCTCCCTCTGTCCACCAAAGCCCCTATACCAGGTGAGTTCATCCACCAGGCCTGTCCTCATTCCATCCTAGCACCCTGTCCAGCACGTGGGCCCCCACACCCTCTCCACGCTGATTTCTGAAAGAGAACTCTTTAGGTCAAGCTCTCAGTTCCACCTAAGGCCCAGAAAACCCAACCCTTGGAAGTCCTTGATAAAACAAGAAGGCACAACGCCATCCTGCTCCCCCTCCTCCATGACCCCATGGGGACCCAGGCATGTTCCTCATCTCCCACTCTTCCTGGGGGAGAGGAGACTCTTTCCATATCTCTTCTCCCCCCATCCCCGCTCACCTGTC